CTCGCTTGTGGGGAGGGCGAGGTAGAAATGTCAAAAATAAATAAATACAAGGGATACTGGTTTTGAGGACAAGGATGCTCAGCCACAGAAGAACCCTGCCTTTGCCTGCTGCTGCCTCCTTGCACAAGTATTCAAAGGTTTGCTGACTCTGACTATGGAATATCTCCTCCATGAATCTGTCTAACCCCTTTTAAAGCCATCTACGTTTGTGGCCATCACTACATCCTCTGGCAGTGAGTTCCACACCTTAATTACTCCTTGTGTAAAGAAGAAGTTCCTTTTGACAGTCCTGAATCTATTGCCCTTAATTTCATTGGGTGCCCTCAAGTTCTAACGTAATGAAGCATGTCTTTGTCCTACTGCAAGCAATCAGCATCTGGAACATATAGAAAAGTTAATTTTTTTCAAACACCCAAAATGCCTAGAATTGGATCATAAATACTTCACACATGTGCCATTTTTCAATCCTTTACCACAGCTGTCCCCTCTGCATCCATCAGTACAAAGCATCACAGATAATTTTTCTACTGAAGAACAGATTTTCCCCCAAAGGAAAAAAATGCATATTTTTCTGCTTTGCATACCTCTACAAGTAAGAAAGCTTTCATTGGTTTCATTTCAAGATGCTAATTGATCATAGCTTCCAAAAGACAAATTCAGAAAAGTGGAAGTACACTAGCATGACAGATCCTCTGTCGCTCAAGTTGTATATACTAATTTCTTTTCTTTCCCTTTTTACTTCAGGTTAACTGTTTTTGGACTACTAAATAAATCTGCAAAAGTTGTGTGATCAGAAACAATACTGAAACTGGGGGCGGGGCGGAATCATGTATACACCATAGGCAACAATGGCTCAATCATGTTTTTTTTAAAGAATAAGTTGAAAATAGTGTGATAGTTACGGCAGCTCAGAGTCCACACACATTTTCCCTTCTATCCCAGTGTTTTCTAGGGCCAAACAGGTTTTGCAGATTTCTGTAATTCTTTAGGGAAAACTTGTTCAAATAACCATCTGCACCCACAGTTGCCTAACCTCAAGATCACCTCAGAGCACTGGCCAAAGAGTGCACAGATTCATAGAATCGTAGAGTTGGAAGGGACCTCCAGGGTCATCTAGTCCAACCCCCTGCACAATACAGAAAATTCACAAATACCTCCCCCCCATACCCCCAGTGACCACTGTTCCACACCCAGACGATGACAAAAAAACTCCAGGATCTCCAGCCAAACTGGCCTGGAGAAAAATTGCTTCCAGACCCCAAAGTGGCAATCAACATTTCCCTGGGTGTGTAAGAAAGGGCCACAAGAACTAAGCACTGATGCAACCCTTCCTGCCCTCCCTCTCATGACCTGCCTAAGTTCACAGAATTCGCATTGTTGTCAGATGGCCATCTAGCCTCTGTTTGAAAACCTCCAAAGAAGGAGAACCCACCACCTCCCGAGGAAGCCTGTTCCACTGAGGAACTGCTCTGACAGGAAGTTCTTCCTAATGTTTAGCCGAAAACTCTTTTGATTTAATTTCAACCTGTTGGTTCTGGTCTGACCTTCTGGGGCAACAGAAGACAACTACACTCCATCCTCTATATGACAGCCCTTCAAGTACTTGAAGATGGTTATCATATCACCTCTCAGTCGTCTCCTCTCCAGGCTAAACATACCCAGATCCTTCACCATCTTCATTGCCCTCCTCTGGACACATTGCAGCTTGTCTATATCCTTCTTAAATTGTACTGCCCAAAACTGAACATAATACTCTAGAGCAGAGTAAATAGATACCATCACTTCCCGTGATCTGAACACTGTACTTTTGTTGATACAGCCCAAAATCACATTTGCCTTTTTAGCTACCGCATCCCACTGCTGACTCATGTTCAGTGTATGGTCTACTAAGACTACTGCTGAGACAAGTCTCGCCCATCCTACAATTATGCATTTGATTTTTCCTACCTAAATGCAGAACTTTACATTTATCCCTACTGAAATTCATGTTATTTGTTTTAGCCCAGTTTTCCAGCCTGTCAAAATCATCCTGTATCCTGACTCTGTCTTCTACCGTATTTGCTACCCCTCCCAATTTAGTATCATATGCAAACTTCATAAGCATTCCCTCTATTCCTTCATCCAAATCATTTATAAAGATGTTGAACAAAACAGGTCCCAGGAAAGATCCTTGCGGCACTCCACGTCACTCCTCTCCAAGAGGATGAGGAACCATTCAGAAGCACTCTTTGGGTGCGATCTGTCAACCAGTTATGGATCCACCTAACAGTCATAGGATCCAAACCACATTTTATCAATTTGCCAACAAGAATATTAGATGGAACCTTATCAAACTCATTTGTTATAAGGGCTGGATCTGACATAAATGGGACTTGGTTGGGTTGGGCTGGGCCATGTGTGTCATAAAATGTAATGCTCGGTTGCAGAGATATAAACTTTATAAATGACACAGACAAACACAATTAAGGATGCCCCCATGCTGAGTGGAGTAGGGAGCAAACCCTTTCCTCAGCCTGCTCTCACAGTCAATGCTCTGAGTCTAGGACCCTAGGGAAAACATGAAATGGCTGGGCATTGCAAACTCCCCCCCCCCCACACACACACACAAACACAACTCAAAAGGCCCTGAGCCAAGTTCTGGTGCTCTCACCCCTTAATTGGAAGGAACTTTGCACTTGAGACAGCCAGAGACTTCTTGTCAGGGATGAGATATGGACCATGAAAATGCAGTGAATTTCAGTTGCAAAACAAGCACCTTATAACTGAAACAGAAAGGAGGGGGGGGTTGAACCAAAGCCGGTTGCATAACCACCACCACCACCACTGCTCAAATCGGGGGCCAAAGAGAGACAAAGGCTGGGGGGAGGGTTGATAAGTTTTGTCTTTGCAAGCGCCACCAGCAGAATCAGGGTTTCTCTCTATTGCCTCAAAACACACAACCACACACACAAAGCACACTTTCCCTCTGCAAACTGCCAATGATTGCTTGAGCTGAGCTACAAACAGCCGCCCCTCCAAGGAAGAAGATGCAAACCTCACGCTGTCTCCCCCCCTCCGCTGCCATTATTAGCCATGATTTCTGATTATTCAGGTACCACTTGAGCTTTTTTCTTCTTCTCCAGGGGCTATTTGATGAGCCAGCATGTGCAAATGATGTGCCTCATGCTCCGCTCACTTAACAGGAAGAGCTGTCCCTTGACGGAAGGAGCCCTCGATGGAAGTGCCCCAACACCACCCAGACCCTAAGACAAGGGCAGCCTCCATGCAGGAGAAGCAGAATCACCACAGCTGCTTCCAATTTGTGCAGTGTCTGGCTGGACCTGACAACACCACCTCTGGTCCTTTCCACAGTTACAAACAGGGCAGGGCTGCTCTGGAACCCTGCAGAGCCGGGGCGGGCCAGGCCAGCTGGGTGCTGGCACTAGAGGGGGTGCTGTGCCGCTCCCACCCCTGGATGCTGAGTAGCCAGGAGGGTCACAGACAGCCCTCTCTCCTTCCAGAAGCAGACAAAGCCGGTTCACCTACCTCCACCGCTGGCAATCTGACGGGGCATGGGGGCTTTCTGGCAGCCTGTGGAGGGTCCGCATGTGGCTTGGGCAGGAGGCTGCAATGAGTGGAGGGAGCAATCCCAGGCTTGGCTGAAACTAAATCTACGTGGGTCGGCTGGCTGGAAGGCACTCCCACATGGCCCTTCCTGCGCTCAGCCAGGCCGCATCCCCTCCCCTCTCCTTGGTGTGTTCCCGCTAGCCCCCTCCCCCCAGCCGGGCAATCATAAGTAGCACTGTGCTTCCCACTCCTCCTGGCTCTTGTGACAGAGAAGGTGGGACAAAGGCCAGCCTTCCACTACTGAGGAGAAATGTCTTGCCCCTTGCTTGCAGGCTGGATTACAGCCCTGGGAGGGCCGGTTGTGGCCCACAGGCTACGTGTTTGACACCCCTACTCTAAAGCATCAGCTACCACCTGAGAACAGAGTTTCTAGGCCATGTGCAGTCAGTGCAAACACTTTAGTTACACTTGCTGTTGAACTATAGCTGATGTGGTTCTCACTGTCTTGTTCTGAGAACACTAGAGGACAGAGTCCATAATGGGACATGCATAGCTTGCTGCATATTTTGAAAGGGGGCTTTCTGGTGCATGGCAGGTGCCAGTGAGGGAAGAGTTCTTGAAGGTGTGCAAGATTTTTGAAATCAAAACAGGGGTCCCTGAGTTGATAATGTTTGAGAACTGCTGCGCCCATATACGGAGAGGAGGATTCCCAATGTTTATCCCCCTCATCTCCAATGCATGATCCCTTACAGGTCTCCAATTTATGACACCCTTTTCTTGTGTTGGGAAATAATTTATATGAATAAAACAAAAGATGCATTAAAGACAATAACTTTAGCATTTCACAATTTTCAAAAGAGAACTTTATAACAATGTGTGATTTTTAAGAACTTTGCATTTCATTCCACTTAATCAGATCATTAATGCTATTTAAAGAAGTGCTTAAAGAATCATTCTAATAAGCACCCAGGTTAATACATGCTACTTGCATGTCCAGTAATGTGCATGTACAGTAATGTAACATGGCAGTAATGCAAGAAATCGAAAGCAGATTAAAAGCTGGGAGAACTCTGGGCAGGCAGCAGTAAGATACTAGATAATGCATGAAAAACAACAGAGGACCCCCCAGACCAGTGAGCCCTTTTCAAACCAAAGACCTGTCTCCAAAGCACAGAATAATAATCTCTCTGTCCCTTATTATTTTGTAGCCCAAACAGGACCCTATTCTCTTTCTTTGAGAGCTCTTCTCTAAAACACAATGACAAAAATGACAGTACCAAACCAATATTAAAAATCCTAACATGAGCTGGGGGGGGGGGTGTTTGCTGGGCAACTAACTACCCCAGCAAAAAATACCAAAATCTATCAAGAACACCCAATTTAATTAATCAGAGAAACTATATATACATATAGTGGATGAACACTTGCACATAAGATAAATGAATAAAAATCACCTCTACATGGAAGATCTTGAAGTCAATCCCATACACCTTCATCTCCTCTGGGAAATCTTTATATGCATTCATGTAAGGAATGTGACCATCCATTACCAGCCTGAGTTGAAGGAGTAAAAGTAAAATCAATATGTACAGAGTGATTTAATTGAATGCACAACAAGTCCCACAATTACAAAGCTAAAACAGTAAAGTAAGTGACTGACAGACAGTGCCTATCCTAAGCAGAGTTACACCCTTCTCAGTTCACTGAAGTCAATGGCCTTAGGATGGGCATTGTGAAATCTCCACTTCTTGCCAAACATTACTTTTCTTGAGAGGAAGAAAAGCAAATATAAGAGATGACTGGCTGGAAATTGGCACTGTTCACACTCTGTCTTAAGTGCACTAGTATGAATTATTACATTATTGTACCATGTAATTTGGACCAGCTGGTAGAAGAGAGCAAAGCTGTACAGAAATATCTATTTTGATATAGTCACATGTACTTCCTGTCCACTCTGAACAATGAGGTAATGTCACAGCACTACTTGGGGAGGCTTCAACAGAAAATGGAAGCAGACAGGCTATGACCTACATAGTGTGGCCTCCTTGCTGACTGAGGGCAAGATCCTTAGGTCCCTTGTGAGGGGAAAACAAAAGCAACTTTCCTCAGGACATAGACAGGTTCACAGCTAAACACACAGGTACCCTTATATGATAATGAATATTAGCACACGTTATTTCAGCAGCAAAAATCAGCAGATTAATTTATTCAGAGTATACTGGAAAACAGAATTAGGTAACATTTTTAAGTATGCAAACAACAGGAATGACTCAACTGTCAGGATGAATATTCTTGAGCTCCACAATAGAACAATTAATTAGTAATACGGCTGTCCAAAAGTCTGGTGACACACTATTGAGGCAGAAGAGTCCAAACTTTTCTCATTTCAAAAGTAACAAAGGTCTTAACAAATGCTTAATAAGGCTTACTATAATATTTAAGGAGTTGAGCTTAATCATCAAACACAGAAAAATATTTCTTAAATGACATTATAGAACATAAAACTCATAGCATTTACAAGTGTCAACGAACAACTAACTGGTGGGTTAGGAACTTAAAGCCACATAATGTACCCACGACACAACTTTGAAAGCAGCATTAGTAGCCACGCATAGAAAGTCTCTAAAGTTATATCTTCCAAATACCATTTTGATTTATGTACATAAGAACATAAGAGATGCCAATGTTGGATCAGGCCAAGACCCGAGTGCCGCATGACGGAGTGAGCTCCCGTCTCTAATTCCAGCTCCTGCCAACCTAGCAGTTCGAAAGCAAGAATTGCAAGTAGATAAATAGGTACCACTTCAGTGGGAAGGTAACAGCGTTCCGTGCACCTTGGTGTTTAGTCATGCTGGCCACATGACCACGGAAATGTCTTTGGACAGCGCTGGCTCTTTGGCTTCGAAACGGAGATGAGCACCGCAACCCTAGAGTAGGATTCGACTGGCTTTCGAGCAAGGGAACCTTTACCTTTACATACATACATACATACATACATACATACATACATACATACATATATAAACTGGCTCTCAGGAGTCAGTTAAACTGTGAATCAGTTAAAGTGTTAAACAGGAAGCAGCTTTGGAATTGAAAGAGGTTGGGGGGGGAATGCCTGGACATCTCTCTGAATTACAATTGATCTCCAGACTACAGAGATCAGTTCCCATGGAGAAAATGGTTGCTTTGGAAGGTGAGCTCTATGGCATTATACCTCATTGAATTCCTTCAACAAACCTGGCCCTTCCCTTAGCATTGGCAACCTCCAGGTGGCACCTGGATATCTCCAAGATCAGTTCTCCTAGAGAAAATGGCTGCTCTGGGCAGTGGACTCTATGGCATTATACCCTGCTGAGGTCCCTCCCCACCCCAAACCCTGCCCTCCCCAGACTCTACCCCTCAAATCTACAGGTGTTTCCAACCCAGAGCTGGCAACCCTGTAACTGGCTACCGCTTTCCAGACCCTTGAAACCCAGAAAACATGGCATGCGGCTCTCCTCCCATACTACCCACTTGGGGCAGCAAAATGACTTGAGACAGCCCTGCCTTGTAGCTAAGCAGAAGGAAATAGACATGGCTCGCCTCCCTCTATTTTACCCTTCCCTCCACTGCCCCAGCAGCCACAGCTGGGACTCTCACCTGGAGCCTCTTTCTAGAGCTCCTTGTATTTCTCCACACAACTGGCCTTACTCCTAGTACAGGTAATAAAGGAGTTGTGCCATCAGGAGGTCCACCAGTGGGGCCAGGACATTAGAAGCCCTCCCACTGTTGACCCCCCCCCCAAGCACCAAGATGACAGAGCATCACTTGCCCCAGAGTCCCTATCTATACCTTGTGGCTAATAGCCACTGATGGACCTCTGCTCCATATGCTTATCTAATTCCCTTTTGAAGCCGTCCATGCTTGTAGCCGCCACCACTTCCTGTGGCAGTGAATTCCAAGTGTTAATCACTCTTTGGGTGAAGAAGTACTTCCTTTTATCCGTTCTACCCCGACCGCTCAGCAATTTCATGTAGTGCCCACGAGTTCTTGTATTGTGAGAAAGGGAGAAAAGTACCTCTTTCTCTACCTGCTCTTTCCCATGCATAATCTTATAAACCTCAATCATGTCACCCCTCAGTCGTCGTTTCTCCAAGCTAAAGAGCCCTAAGCGCCTTAACCTTTCCTCATAGGGAAAGTGTTCCAAGCCCTTTTATCATTCGAGTTGCCCTTTTCTGCACTTTTTCCAAAGCTATAATATCCTTTTTAAGGTGTGCTGACCAGAACTGCACACAGCATCCATAAGTATCCATAAGTGTATCCATAAGTGACCTAAGACATGGGGCTGCCCTTGAAAAATGTTTAGAGACTTTAATTGGTACAGAATGCTGCAGCCAGGATGTTGGCTGGAGTGGGCAGTAGGGACTGTATCAGTTTAGTCTTGGCCGAAGATGCCGGTCTGACCTTCAAATCCCTTATATGGTTTGGGACCAACATACCTGAAGGACTGCATAATCCCTTATGAACCCATCTGACTGTTACGGTCCTCTTCGGAGGCCCTGCTTCAGATGCCCCCACCTCCTGAGATTAGGTGGGTTTATCAACTTGGGAGAGAGCCTTCTTGGTCACGGCACTGAAGCTCTGGAACTCCCTCCCCAGGGAAATTTTTCTGTCTACTTCTGCTTGCCATCTTCCACCAGCAGGCGAAGACTTTTTTGTTTCCTTTGGCACTCCTTCAATGATCCCACCTTCCTAACCTATGTTTCATGTTTTCTATGTATTCTAACTCTGTTTGTAACTCTTTTTAAAGTTATTTTTGTTGGAATATGCAAAGATCTATAGTGCAGCATCATGAAGATCATCCTACAGGGGGACAGCTGAAGGTATTTAGCATACCTAGACTAGGGACTTCCCACTATTTCAGATTGTGTCCTCACTCTCTCCTGATTGGCTCTTCTGGAGACTTCATGCTCCTGTAGAGCTTCCTGTTGCTCTTTGTTCCTTTAACAGCAGTTAGACTGGTTAGTTTAGGCTTTCTCTCTGTATGTTCTATAAAAAATTGTTCTTTAATAAACCTACTTATTTTTTTTAAGTCAGTGCTCAACTTCCTTTGCATATTTAAACTCTGCCAACCATTTTAACGACATACATTTGGGAAGAGTACTGATTCTAATGGTTTTACAATATAATTTCATCATGTATGTTTTAAAATTGTTAGCTGCCTTGGCAGCCCTTGTAAGGGCAGAAAAGTAAGATATAAATTTTGTAAATAAATAAATAAGCAAATTAGAGTGCGGCAAATCTTAGTGTGTCAGCCAAATACACAGAGCTGTAATTAAAAGCAGACATTAAGGTAGTCTTAAAATTGCTTCACCAGGTATTGTTCTCACCTTAAGAGATCTGATAATGTAATGGATTCCCTCAACCACAGCAATGCCATATAGCAGAAAGCCAGGGTCATTGGCATTGACATGCTCACATCTCCTTTCTTCTTGTTCCGTAAATATGAGTGCGCATCTACTGATCCAGACCAGTCAGACATTTCTGTGGGACAGGTGTAAGAAGCTTACAAATTACACAGTCTACACCGAATTTATAAATATATAATTTAAAAAACAATAACAGAGAATGATGTTATTCTAGTACAGAAAACAGAAGCAAATAACATTGAGACAAATTTGTTAAACCACACACTACAGGCCACAGCTTAATCCTCTATAATCTCAGAAGACTTGCATAAAACGAACCATTTAATGGCTGGGATCATAAGACTACACAAGCGGGAAGATTATATATAATGACATCTTCTCCACCTTTCCCTTTCCCAAGCAGCCCCCCCCGCCGCCCTCAGTTACCCAGGGGCTACAATGAACAGCAGGAAATCAACCAAGGTGCCTTCCCCTGCCCTTGCTTACAAATGAGGGAAGATTACTTTGTCTAGGTCTCCCTTCTCCTTGCAGCCCCCAGTGCCACCCGACATTTTGTTCACCAGGGTCTCCCAGCCCCCAAGAGAACATTTTTGGAGCACAGAGGGGGGCAGCTGAGCAAAGGCAGCAGTCATGAAGATCCCACTGCACAAACTCTTTCCACTTCTGCAACCATCAGATCCAATCCCAAGTGTTTGGGACCAGGGTTGTTGTTGTTCAGTCGCACAGTCGAGTCCGACTCTTTGTTTTTAAATTGCATTAGTCAATCCTAACACTATGAAAGGGGTTATTCCCATTAGACAGAAAAGAAATTGAGGACGAAAGAATGAAGAATGCTACTAAAGCCGCAAATTAGAGCTGGCTCAAAAAAAGAAGAAGTAGGTGAGCATATCAACAGATTACATCTCTATGAAAGATTTAATTTCTCATCATAGCCCGGAGGATAGTAAGAGAACTGACGTAATGTTTAAAGATGAAAACAATTATAAAGTGCTTAAGTAGCTTTGCTATTCTAAACAACTTAAGCTTCTTCCTAGATAAAAATAACATATGTCAAAAAAACTGGACCAAGCTAGGAAGAATGCATAATAAATATATTAAAGAATGAAAAGGACGGGAAACAGTCCAAAAGATCACTTAATACATCTGAAGACACTTAATTAGTGAAGCATAAATGTTAAGCCACAAGAAAGGCAGCAGAAAAGCCAATAAATACTCTCATCTGCAGACGACAAAAAGAAGCCGTGTAAAGCACCATCTTTCACACCTCAGGGACTCAAATGTATGCTATAAATGCTAGCCATAGATACCCCAACATTTTTCTGTATAGAAAAAGAGTTCCTATTACATTCTCACATTATCTAGAACAAAATACAATAACATTATGACTGGAAAGCCAGTTTTTAAAATGATAGCAATAAGAATCGGGGGGTGGGGGTGGAGCGGCATGGGCATATATACCTAGGTAGCATTCAGTTTGTGCAATTCATTATTTCTAAACTCATTTGAGGAGCTTACTGAAGACCTAAGTGCAAAAAAAACTAAAGTTATAACTGGCCTCTTCACAAAAATGACATGCGATTAATGGCCTAGCTAACAGTGCAATCCCTATGCAGTATTATCCCAGATCACTGAGCGTGGACTCTGCATAGGTTTATACTTCTAAACATTCCTCAACTTGTCAAACAAAATCCTGAGAGCTGCCATTTCATGATGTAACACTAAATGTTATATGCTATTCATATTTCCTGTAGAAAGACTTTGATATGTACATACATACTGATTTGATGAGTTACATTTGATATAACACAATAAAATATTAATAGCGGTTCCATCCCTTTACTATTTACTTCTGTAATTTATTAAAAACATTCTATGCCACCTTTCTACCAATGCAGCTTACAGCATACACTGAAATCATAATCACTCAGCTTCAAAATCTTAAAATGCAAAAAAATACCCCCCCAAAAAGCCACTACCCCTTTGCCTTTACTGCCTCTCAGCAAAGCACCTGATAGCAGTTGCTGTGAAAGCACTTTCTAGTGTATGACTTCTAAAAACCCAGAAGGAAACACAAGAGCTGCTCTGAATGGCTATTGTGTATATATGAGTCACTGAAGAAAATACATGAACCTCAAGTAATCCCTTTCAGTCATCAGTTTTGCCTTTTTCATGTATAGGCTGAGTCTCAAGAGCACTCGTGATTGAAACTCTATTGCTAACTCCATATTCTGCCCAATTTATAATAATCCTTGTGTTCTATTTGTAGCCATCATATTAACATAGCAGCTTTCCTTTTATTTGTTCGAGATTATGCAGGGTATATTAGACAGTCAGCACTAAACCCAACACAACATACAATTTAAGACATGTCATAACAACCTACAGATTTAATAGGCTTCCCAAACAATGTCTGTATACTGCAACAAACACAGGGGTTCAACCTACTAGCTTGGCGAACAATAATCAGTAGTGCCAGATAAATCTCTTTAAAAAACCCAAACATCACATAATGCCTAAGTGTTACAGAAATGAGTGTTTCTTTGGTGTCATTCATCAACCACCAGCAATACTACACAAAACATGCTATCTTGAGGCTTGTAGATTACCCTGCACAAAACCGGTTCTAGGGCAGGGGTGCTCTTAAAGCAACTCATTCAAAATACATAAAAAGAGAGATCACACATTGTGTCAAACAGTATGCAGAGAATTTTGCTAGAACTTGTACATCACAACAGTCTCCACACACCCTTCCGCATCAAGTAATAGTTTTCAATCCTACTGACTCAACTCTATTAGTAATGTAAACTGTCAGCCTTTTTGTAAAAATTGATACTCATTTTCAGGTACCACTACGTGACCTCTAGTAATTCGCATCTCCAGGTGAAATCATGTACCACTGATACGTTCCAGTAAAGTTTACCCTTCCCAGCAGCTGGTTGCCTCAGACCAAATACAAAACTGACTCATCTGAACTTTCTGAAGCATTCAATTTCTCAACAAATTCCAGGGGTAGCAAAAACAAATGGGAGTCTAGTGGTATCCTAACGATGAATATGTTTGTATGCTGTCATATCAAGAAAAACGTGAACAGAAGGGTTAAAGGGGCCATAAAGCACAGGAAATATAGGGTGAGATGTAAAATTTAATAAAGAAAAGTACAGACACCATTTACAACAACAGTAATTGGCAAGCTTCCTAGTTTTGCTAAGCTAGCAAACACCTGCAATGGCTAAAGAAATCCAGATTTTGTTTAACCAGTTAACACTTGTAGCGTGAGAAATTCCTAGTTCTTCTGAGCCCTCAGGAGACAGTGTCAAACAACAAATTCTAATTCAGGAGTTTCACACTAGAGTTATCATTGGAAGTTCTTTTGGGTGGACAACAGAGACTTGTATTTCATATTAATGACATCGTTGTGGTTACCCTCATGGTCCCACAGTATACAAATATATTCATGGCTAACCACCACAAACATCTCTCCTGTACCTGAGATTCACTAATAATGCTTTCATCAGCTGGATCCACAAGAAGGATGCTCTCAAGGGATTCCTCCAGGACTTCAAAAACTTTCACCCCACCATCAACCTGATCCTGGACCAGTCCACATAACAAGTCTATTTTCAGGACACCGCTGTTCAATTACATAATGGACGCATAAGCACTACTTTGTAATGAAAACTCACGAACTGCTACATATGTCTAAATGCTTCCAGCCAGGGCTTTTTTCTGGGGGAACATGCCAGAATGGAGTTCCAGAACCTCTTCAACAATTTTTTTAAAAAAATGTTCAAAAGTTAATGATTTTTCAGTATACAGACTGAAAACTTCATTTCCCTCTTGAGAGTTCCGCCACCTCTTTTTCCAAAAAACAAAGCCCTGGTTCCAGCTATCACCTTGAGCACACCAAGCAATTGGTTGTCTACAGCCAATGTTATAACACTACATTACAACAACATTTGCTTTAACACAGCTGCATTCCTGGGTTTACAACAGCAAGTCTTGGGATGGAAATATCCACCTGAAGTCGTAAAACATGGTTTGACAAGCCAAGAAATAGTTCACTACAAGACAGGCCCCAAAGAGTTAACAACAGAACACCAGTGGCTGTCACCTACAACTCCCAGCTCAAATTAGCCCAATGCACCATCCAAGACCCCTCGGACAGCACATATTCAACCAGTGCTACGTGAGCTGCACTGGCTTCCAGTGGAACATCGGATCAGGATCAAGGTTCTGTTTTTGAACTTTAAGGCCCTTAGCAGTCAGGGATCTACATATCTTCGGGACCGCCTCTCCCAGTATGCCCCTGGAAGAGTGCTACACTCGGGAAATAAGAACTTCCTGGTGGTCCGCAGCCCGAGAGAAGCCCTTTTTCAGCCCTGGCCCCTGCCTGGTGGAACGCTCTGCCAGAAGACATCCGTGCCCTGCGGGAAATATTACCCTTCCGCAGTTCATGCAAGGCAGAGATGTTTCGCCGGGCCTTCGGTTGAAGACAGCGATGGGGTGTCATTTGGCACTCTTACACAAGTCCCCATCCTCCATAACCCCTCCCCCTAGGAAGGCTGGGGAGTTGGAATTCTTTCCGCCATCTCATATAGACTGTTTTCTGCTATCTCATATATGCTGTCTGTATGTATTGGTATCTTAATTTAGTTTTAAACTGAGATTTGTATATTTATTTTGTTGTAAGATGCCCTGAGTCCTGTTTGTAGGGAAGAGTGGCCTAGTAAATCTAATTTAATAAATAAATAAATAAAATAAGATGCACAGTCTATCCTGGAGATACGGCTTATGTGGCCTTTTCTCATTGATACGCATCCCCCACCCACTAAAATAGCTTCTTATAAACAGTGTGCCATTGAATAGCAACATAAACCCAGGGACCAGACACTACAGGAAACCCAGATGCCAACTCTGTCCCCCATATTCACTGGACAATACTGTAACAGCAGCCATACTATCTTGGACTTATCCCTCCTCATCCTCCAATGTGATATCTGCTCTTTACACAGGACAAATAGAACAGTCTCTAAACAAAAGAATAAGTGAACATAAATATGACAAATTAAGTGGCATATTTAAAAAAGCAATGTCCAGAAACCAGTAGGGGAATATTTCAATATCTATGGGGGACCTGAAAGTCACCATTCTCTAGCAAAACAATTTAAAAGGAGAATTCAAGTGGGAAATGGCTGAGTTAGAATTCAGAACACTGATACCTTCTTAAATAAGTTTTAATATGGGATTCTGCCATCATTACAGCATCAAATGGCTTAGCAAATGTGGGCATATTGCCATTGAGAATCGTCTTTATACTGTCACTGATTACATTTGAGTTTCACATAATTATGTCTCAACCTGTATTTCCTGCATTTCATGGCCCTTTGACCCTGGTGTCACAATTTCCCCAGGGATACATGCAACTTCCTTATTTGCATACAAGGACACATTGTGAACAATATAATAATATTTCAAGAATTTTCATGTCAACATTTTCTACATTGTTATATACACAGGATCACCCAGATATGACTTTTACAGCCAAATACTATGCCGAGTTACTTCAGTCTAAACCTGAGAATTTTTTCCCCCTGCTCTGACCTGGATAGCCCAGGCTAGCCCAATCTCATTGGATCTCGGAAGCTAAGTAGGATCGGCCTTGGTGAGTATTCGGATGGGAGACCACTACAGAAGTCTAGGGTTCCTATGCAGAGGCAGGCAATGGCAAACCACCTCTGAACATCTCTTGCTCTGAAAACCCCATGGGACTGCTATAAGTCAGCTGTGATTTGATGGCAAAAAAGGGCCAGATTTTAATTAATGGGTGTAGACTGGAGCTGTACTGTTACAGTGCAATCCTAAACAGCGTTGCACCATTTTAAATTCACCAAAGTCAATGAGATTAGCCTACCCAGAACCCTCTAAGCTGTGGAGTCTTGTGAGCAAAAATTCTACTTTGTGAGCTACTGGCATTAAAGTTGTGAGCAAGCGATTTGGCTGCTGAATAAATTAGTTTGCTCTGGAGCCATCCTTCCTGAGCTAGGACAAAAACGTGTGAGCCAGAGGCTAAAAAACTGTGAGCTACCTCACACTAACTCAGCTTAGGGGGAACACTGCCCAGAACTCTACTCAGGCTTGCTCAATGGGACTTACTCCCAGGAAAGTGTTCTTAGGATTGCATTGTTAATCTCCTAGACCAATAGGGTATTTCTACATCAAAGGCCCCGTTCACACGGAGCAGAAGCCACGCTAAATAGACGGAAGAGAGGCGGAGTTACCTGGCACGATCACACGGCAACATCTGGGGAGCGTAGAGCTCCCGTGGTTGAACTGTGGCGAACCGCCGATAAAACGGAGCAAAAAACTAGTACCTCGGAGGTACTAGTTTCCGGAAACTGCGGGGCAAGGGCGGGCGTCTGATCGCGTTTCCGGTGGCATCCGGCGCCCGTCCATGTCCCCTTGCGAAGAAGATTTTTTTTTTCCCCCAAGTCTCCGTGGTTGCGCATAAGCACTCAACGGAGCATGCGCATTCGTAGTGTACACAAAAAAGAAACCCAGTTCGCCGCGCCGCGCGCTTCTTCGTTGCGCGCAGGCATGTGTTGTGATCGACGCCTCTCCGTAACCACGGAAGCTCCACGGTCCCTCCACAGAACCTCGACAGGAGGTATGATCACTTTACTGCGTGTTAGTTTGCCCCGGGCCAAACAGCCACACTTCTCCCCCGCAGTTTCCTTGCCGTGTGACCGGGGCCAAAAATGATTATATACAAAATTCACTATTCAAGATCCATTTACTCTTACCTGATAAAGCCGAAGAAGTGTCTCCAATGCTAGATTCCGATCCAGACAAACCAAGAAGTCTAAAAATATCTAGTTCTGTGTTCGCTCCACTATCGGTGTCAGATGACTGCTTTTAAAATAAATTTAATGACAGCATTAGATTCCCAACAATGTTGAATCCATAAAGTTACTTTTTCACGATTTGTTCTCTCCGGGATGCATTCAGGCATTACAAACAAGCCCCCAAACGGTTTGTGACACGGACTAACTTCAAATCAATGAGCTTGTAGTGCTTCCCTTCTTCCTCTTGCATACAGAACTACAATGGAATATTTCCTGCTTAAAGAAATCTTTAGTTTAACCACAATTTGCTGCGATGTCCAAATGTGGGTACATTAATGAACTAAGATTTGTTTCTTAACCACTAACTAGGACTCTTAGCCATGATGTGATCCTGGTTTAGCATCCCAGTTACTGTCAAAGATACAACCCCTTATTCATTACACCTGTGCAGAGTTCAATCAAAAACGAAATTAGGAAATCTCTGATGCATAAGGAGAGGGGATGGGGGTAAGAGGTCACAGGGAACATACAAGGTCTAGGGTTTGAGGCTTGATTACATCATGAACAACATGTGGTTGGGGACATCTGAATACAACCTCTTTCTTAAAAGAAATTTTGCTAAAAAAAATATTCAGCGGCTAGGCTATGAAGCAAAATGCCATTTTAATGAAGTCACTATAATTTTTTAATACATTTACAATTTGTGCCTATATTTGCAGAATATGTTTTCCGAAGAACAGCATATGAGGCTCCATCTGGAAAATGCAACACTCAAAAAAAGAATGTTGCAAAATAAACATTTACATGCATACTACTTGAACAATTAAATATCAGTAGAGTACAGATTTGTTTTACAACGTATTTTGGGGGGAAGCTACTCCCAGAATGAATGTCTTCTTACGGGCTCTGAGTAGAGATGCCATGAAAGTCTGTAACTATCTGGTAACTGTTTATACAAACTTGCCCATTATTACAACCGTTTTTTTTTGACAAAGGTCAGCTGCATTGCAAACTGCACTGTTTTCACTGGAACCTAAGAACATTAAGTGAGATTCTGTGCCAACATTTAGACAAAATGCTCAAAAGAAGCTGCCTTGCAGAATCTACAGAAATTAATTAGGATATTTATACCCAGATTTTCTCCTCAATGGAGGCCTGGTGTCATCATTCTCCCCTCCTTCATTTTGTCCTCACAATAACTACTCCTGGAGGTGGGTTAGATTGAGAAAGAGTGGCTGGCCCAAGGCCACCCAGCAAACGTCCAGGGAAAAGTGGGGATTCAAACCAGGGTCTCTCAGATCCTAGTCTGACACGCTAACTGCTACACCACACTGGCTCTAATGATAATGGCCTTATTCTCACTGAAATGCTAGCTCATTACTATATGATCAGACCACTTGATCAAGCAGCCTGTTATCTGATGAGCAACTTATGTAGTTTGCTGAAATCCTCTGAAACATTCCTCCAAATGTTTTAATTGGTTGTTATTCTTCGTCTAAATTCCTCTCTTGTTCCCAGATATATGTTTGTGTTCTGGAGGGTGGGGTGGTGGTGGAGTATAGTTTAATTCCCAACCAATCTCCCAAAGCTGGTAACATGGGGTGGACACAGGACAGGCAATTCCCAAAAAACAATATGATAATATGCATGCAATACAGCACCAACAGCATGTGTCCACCAACATTACAAGGTGACTGAGAAATCTCAGAAAAGGTCTCTCTGAATGGTTACCCAGGAAGCTTGTAAATATCAAGCCAACACTAAGTCACACTGAAAGAAGCCTGCCCCGTTACTGATTTATTCCTTATTTTTAAAGATTTATACCTTGCCTTTCGATAAATTGATCTTCAAGGCAACCTACAAATATAAAGAATCTACTACGAAAGTAGTAGAGATCAAAGCAATACAAGAAAGATGGCTTGATACAAAGTATACCTATTATGTGCCAAATAGAAGCAGATAAGACAACCATGAGAGATCACAGCTATCCTTACAGAAAATTCAACAACAAAAAAGACACTGTGATGTGATGCCAGAAACATTTGGTAAATCTTTGCAATGTTAAAACATTGTATAGCATTGTGATTGAAAAATTGTTATCTGGAGTATAATTTCTTCAAATTGTTATCACAAGCCTCAAGAATATAATTTCTTCAAATTGGGATAACAATTTGAAGAAATTATATTCTTGAGGCTTGTGATAACAATTTGAAGAAATTATACTCTTGAGGCTTGTAGAGAGCAGTGTACCAGCCTAATTCAGAAGGCTTTTGCATCTGTGTAGAAAAGAAGTTAAGGTCTGGCTTGCTCCCAGCATATTACTGAGCTACATCAAGACGCTAATACTTTGAAGAGAATTACTCCTGAGGAAGTACAGAGAGGCTCATCTTAAAATCATTACCCCATTAGTTGATAGGATACCTGGTCACATTAATACGAACAAAGCAAGACTTCACTGGCTTCTATCAGATAAGAATTCAGTCGCTGAGTTCTGTGCATTGATTCTTAGATTGCAGGAGTCGCATTTTAAAAGTTTTTAAATTTAGATTTTATTCTGTATATTATCTCTGTTTTTTCCCTTCTTTTTCATACTATGTTTCTATTGTATGCTGGTCTTAAGACCGTAATAATAAAACTAAACTAAACTAAACTACTCCTGAGGAAGAACTGGAACGAAATGAGCCTAAATCCACGTGCTCATTAAGAGATGAATGGACTTATCTTTGCTTATACAGATGAATGGACTTTTCCTTGCAATATTATAAATAATTTTTCAGTCACAATGCTATACAATGTTTTAACATGCAAAGATTTACTAAACATTTCCACCACCACATCACAGTGTCTGTTTCTTTGTTGTAATTTCATACAAAGTATGGCTCCTGGCTCACTTCAGGAGCCCTAGTCACAAGTTACAGTGAATGTACATACAATCCATGCAGAGTGCATATTTGTTTTTTCTTTATACATGCCTTGAGTAATTCTCATGTTACATTCAATGTATGTACAGGTGAATGTGTTATTTAAGCCCAACATTTATCCAGGTACTGGTCCCTGGTTTCATTTGCAAAATGGAAGCGCACAGATTCTTTCTTAAAAATAGGTGTACATACATGCGAGATATATGCGCATTCACTATAACACATGAACAGGGCTCAGGAGGTGGAGTGGAGCAGAATGATGCTAGGATGGGAAAGGAAACATGATGTTAAAGGGGAATGCTAGGAGAGGGAAGGAGACATGCTGTCTTCCCACCTCTCTGGTGTTCCCAGTGCTATTGCTGCTGTCCTTCAGAGGCAGTCTGCACAGAGGGAAACAACCATTCCAGAAATTGGGTTGCCAAGCAGCACCTGTTTAAACTGCCTAGTGTCTAGGACTTCTCTCCCAGGGGGAATAAGGCTTCTGGCTTGCCTCTTGGTAATGGAGAGGAATCAGCAGCACGTAACCTCTCTGCTGTTCCTGCTTCCATCATTATGGAGACCACTGTGCTTACGGACAACACAAGTTATAATCGCCTCTAGTTCCAAGTACAACCACGACGACACTCTGCATTTTGATGTTTGATGTATATAGTTATATAAATTGCACTGGATACCATCCATGAGAAAAAAAGGCTTTCTGGCAGTTCTGAATGCCACACTTACAGGCAAGGCATCACCGGTAGCATCATTGAAGAATTTGTCATAACATGGCTGCATGCTCTTCTGAAGGTAATTTTTCCATAAATTCCACAGAACTTCATCCTATCAGGAACAGTAAAATATGTTGGATTTGACCCAAAGGTGCCCTTCCAGAGGCACTTATGCAACAGCAGGTGAGATTTTAGCAAGCTTCCCCCTTGAGATATATGATAGCCCCGTCCACTTCCCTCCCTCAGAGGCAAGATTTTCCCTCCATTTTTCTTTGCCTTTACTGACTGAGCTGCCCTAGTAATGTGTTTTTTTCTTTGCTGAAGAACTCTGGCTGTCCCACCCTTTCACAGTATGATATTTGGACTATTGGCTCAGCCCAAGAACTTAAGGGAAGGAATGGGAGCCCCCTTTTACTTAAACCACTAAAAATGTCATTTGATAAGTTTTTATATTCAAAAATGACAAAATATTTTATTTAACATAGAAGGGAAAGCTCAGATGAAATCAGGGGTTAAAATGTCTCAGGTAAAACCAGTTACATGCAAAGACTTTAGTTCTTATGCTTCAGGCTAATGATTCTTAAGCTTTTTAGTCACTTAAATCTTTATGTTGAGAGGCTTTTGTTCCAGTGTTTTCCCCAAACACTTCAGTACACTTTCTATGAGTATTTTCTGACTCTTTTAGTGTCCAGAAGGCTAGTACCCTCTTTCCAGTATCCAAACCTCTTCTCTTGAAACACCAGAGAGGTCTCTAAAGGCAGTTTCTAACCACACCAGACCAGGGATCTCTGCACTCTCCAGAGCTAAGTCCCTGTTTAACTGGGTAGGGAATTTTCTTCTCTCTGTAGAAGATCTATCCCCTTTCCTTGGCCTGAATGGGAGTCTTTGCTTACTTAAAACTTCCTTGCCAACTTTCTCCCAGTTATCCTGTCTGTGTTAAACTGTGTTCTTGTTTATGTTACTGCTGGGAAGTCTCTTTTTCTGTGTTAAACTACTCTCAGCAAAGGCTGAAATCGGACTGTCAGTACTCAACTCAGCCAAGGTAGAAATCTGACTCTCCTCAGCATGCAGCTCTCAAGTCTATCTCTGCTCAGCTGATGCTAACCAATCAGATTGCTTGGAGCAGCCTGTCACTCAAGGCTGTCAGTTTCTTTGAAGAATTAATCCTTCACAGTCCTTTAGTTGTTTGTACAGCACTTCTGAGCTTCTTAAAAGTGCAGTCTGTCACAAGATACAGCCCCTGGCACAACACCCCATATTGCTCCTGGAGTTCTCCCACCCAACCATCAGGAGCAGTTTTAGATTGGTACGATCAAGGTTCAGAAAACGAAGAGGCAGGAGGTTCTGTTCCATGAATGGAGATCTCACTTGTGGTTCGTTGGATCTGACTTACAGTCCAACTTATGAAATCAATTTTGATATAAATAGGCTAGAAACATACAAAAATAGATCTCTGAATATGAATTTTCACCTACTCCTCACCTCCACTTAGTCCAAGTCAGGCAGTTCCTTATTAAAGGCCAGTCTAACCCATGTTGTTTTAGCACATTACATTGTGTTACATAGAATGGAATATGCTCCTTTTTGGTGATGTCAAAGACACGTTAGCATCTGCCCTTGGCACATACAGAGCAGTCAGGCCAACTTACTACATCTTCAGGTAAGGAATTTCATAGCTCTCCCCATTCTCACAGCTGTCATTATACCTTTAAATACTACACACACACAGGCATGTCTACAAAGCCCATCCTAATTCTGGAGTTCAGGTCAGGTAAATATCAGAAGCATGAGACCCTGTCCTGACAAGATCATCATCTAAAAAGAGACACAGAGAAAGATGAGGACGAAGTAAGGAAGGCAAAAAGAAAAATGCGGATGATGGCTTTTAGAAAAATTGCCTTCTGATCATCCTAGGTCCATCTTTCCCCTTAAAGAAAAAAATAATCACAATTTCCTCCTAATGCACATTTACATAGAGACAGTGCTCTTCCGTATTTTCACTGTGGGGGTAGAAGTCCTCTGTACTTTATGAGCTAAAGAAGAGAACGAGCAGTGCAATCCTCAACAGAGCTACACCCTTCTAATTCAACTGAAGACAGTGGGCTTAGAAGGGTGTAACTCTGCTTAGGATAAAACTGTAAGTCAGGAATAAGTCTCATGCACAGTCCGTTCAGGGGAGAGCACCATGAGGCCCGGTGTCTTCAGACTGCTGTTTAAAGGGAGGTGGAGGGAACATTTTCTTTCCCCAGGGACAATCTGAGAAATGTTGGAGAGCACTTAAAAAAGCTCCTATGAAATATTTTTTTGAATGAGTAAAATGTTTCTTAAGACAAGGATTTGCTAATTCAGAATGGATAACATGAAAGTTTTTATGTAAGACAATCTACACTTGCGGGGGTCTCAAACATATGACCCGCGGGCTGGAACCAGCCTGTCCAGGGCTCTTATCGGGCCCATGAGCAGTTTATAGCCAGATGACAGACGTTGTGCATTATGTCCCTGTATACTGTTCCAGTGCTAATGAGTAATGGGTGGTGGAGGTGGGAGGGTGGGCATCAGGGAGATACTTTAAGGAAATACTATAAGAAGGTTATGTTTAAAGTATGTTTGTATTTTGAGTACAAATAATACTGCTAATTGGATTTGCTTGTGACTTTTATAAAGTTCATATCTCCCGGACCTGGTGTTACATTTTATGGCACACATGGCCTGGCCCAACAAAATGAAATTTATGTCTGACCCGACCCTTGTAACAAATGAGTCTGACACCTCTGATCTACAGCATTAGACCTAGAGTTGGATCCCACAATCTCTGGATGCAAGGAATGCAGATTCCACCCCCACCCCACCGCATTCCCCCTCCACCAGCATTCATTTCCAACTCTGGGAATGTTTATTCCCATGGTTAAAAACACAAGAAGAGCCCTGCTAGATCAGACCAGTGGTACATCTAGTCCAGCATCTTGTCTTACACAGCGGCCAACCAGTTCCTCTGGAGGGCCAACAACAGGGCATAGAGGCTGAGACCTTCTCTTGATGTTGCCTCCTGACTTAGAGATTCAGAGGTTTAGTACCCCTGAACATGAAAGTTCCCCTCAGCCACCATGGCTAGTAGCCACTGATAGACTTATCCTCCATGAATCTATCTAATCCCCCTTTAAAGCAGTTTATTTCTGTGGCCATCCTCTGGCAGCAAATTCCACATTTTAATCAAATTTTGTGTAAAGAAGTATTTCATAGAATCAAAGAGATGAAAGGGACCTACAGGGTCATCAAGTCCAACACCCCTGCACAATGCAGGAAATTCACAACTACCTCCCCCCAACACCCACAGTGACCATGCCCAGAAGATGGCAAAAAACCTCTAGTATAACTGGTCAAACTGGCCTGGAGAAAATTGCTTCCTGACCCCAAAGTGGTGATCGGCATTTCCCTGGGTGTGTATTTCCTTTTGTCCACCCTGAACCTACTGCCCATCAGCTTCACTGGATCCCATAGAGTTCTAGTATTTTGGGAGAAGGAGAAAAATGTATCTTTGTTAACCCTCTCCACCCCATCCATAATTTTATAAACCTCTACCATGTCTCACGTGACCCATATGAGGAGCCATGCAGCTCAGGAAGCTGTGGTGAGGAAGGGAAGGGGACAAAATCACTCCCTTCTTCCATCAGCAGAGCTGCACTGATAGGAAAGGCAGGAAGGGCAGCCCCCCCCCCCAACCCACTCAGGTCCTGTGACTCTGGGAATAAGCCTTCCTGGGCTCAGAAAGGGTGGCTGGTAGGGAGGGAAACATAGGAAAGACCTGTGACCATCTGCACCTTCCAGGATCCAAACCCTAGAAACTATTTTCAGCAATATATTGATTAAATGCTAATAATTTTGGCGATAGTTAATATGCTATAAAGTGTTTAATGAGAACACATTATTCGAGAGTGTAGTGTTTTAAATATTACAGACTTTAACGTCATGTGCAAACATCCCAGTAGTCTTACTGTGACTATACGAAACTATCTGTCCAAATACAACACTTACTTTTGTTTACTACATATGCTAAGGTTTACGCAGTGACAGGGTATGGCCTTGTTGTTCTTTGCCACTAAAAAAAACAACAACTGATGGACATTCAGACTGGAGCACACCCAACTAAGAAGACTGAGAATGGGGTGGATAACCCTCTGCACATATGCATACACACACTTTTTAAAAAATATAAAAACAGCAAATAAAGTTCACATATAGCAGTTGTGTGATCACATTCCATCCTGTAGTGCAACAAGAGCAGTATTGTGAACCACATTTTCTGAACAACAAAATGCCATGGTCCGAGCACTTGGAAAATGCAATAATGCTGTATGGCAGGCCAGCCCAATCAGACTCCCACTACATTGGGGGGGGGGGTGGCCATGTACCAGCTGGCTAGATCGTAGGCGACTGGCCATGGGCAGCACACCCCACGAGGTGGAGGGAACCGCATTCATATTACAAAGGAATTTGCAAGGAGCTGAGGGGGGAAAGAGAGAATATTTGCCATGCCCCAGGTGGATGCACATGCTTGGGCATGCTTTAAAGGAAGTGGTGAGGTGAAGTCTGGGGTTGGACTCTCCCTGGGGTGGCGAGTGACATAACTCATCCCGCCCAACTGGGACTGCAACTTGGTAATGGCAGAGCCAAAGGAAAGAAAAAGTAAAAATATGTTTGCCAAGTGTTATCAACATGTCATAGATTCAGGTGGGTTAGCCATGCTGGTCTGAAGCAATACAACAAAGTTTGAGTCCACTTCAGAAGTGTGCATGCACATGACAGCTTATACCCAGAATTAAACTCTGTTGGTCTTGAAGGTGCCACTGGACTCAAACTTTGTTCTACATGTCAAGTACGTTCTCAGGTACCCAAAGAGTGAGACACAGCACTCACCCCCAGCCTCCTCTATGTCCAAGAGACAGCACACACTAATGCATAATCTGTGAGCTGCTCCTTACTTTAACACACAATGAAATCTTCAATTCAGTACTACCCATTTGCCTGTTGTACTGAGTTAGGTCAACATACCTTCATCTGTGAAGAAACACCTAAAGACTGCAGCGCTTCAGCTTGTTTCTGGAGTATGTATTGAAATCCTTCACAGATGTACCATTCCAACCCTTTCTCTAAAATTTAAAAGGACAACAGAACATTACAATTCTCAGCTTGCATCTGTCAATATCAAAAAAATACACCAATTAGGGTATTTGACCAAGAATAACTGACTAGCAAACTTGTCTAAAGAAGCTGCCATCACATGAGCTATTCTACCTGATTAGCTTTGGTTCAGTCTCCTATCTCCAGGAAGATCTCACATTCTAGACAGGTCATGGATTCCTAGACAGGAAACTGCTATACCACAATAGCTGCTAAACCAGATCCTTGCAACTAGTTACACAAACCAAAGGCCCTGCAAGAGAAGAAGGATCTTGCCCTCTGCACTTTCCTATTTCCTCCCATTCTCTACCATAAGGAAACCACAGTTTGCTTGTCACGGGGGGGGGGGGACCTTTGAAATACTGTGTGATGCTTAAATTTAGCACTACACACACACACACACACACACTTACTCACTCCAACCCCACCAATTCCAATGAAGAGGGCTTCCATGAATATGCGTCAACTCTTTTGTTATTTATTTACTTCATTTATACCCCACTTTTCCTCCTAACAAAGACCCAACATGGCTTACAGTATTTTCCCCTTCTCCATTTTATGTTCACAACAATCCTGCGAGGTACATTAGGCTGAGGATGTGTGACTGGCCCAAAGTCTCCCAGCAAGCTTCTATGGCAGAGTGAAGATCTGAACCTGAAGCCTCACAGATTCTAGCCTGACACTCTAGCCACTACACTGGTTCTGTTAATTTCATTAGGGAGCACTCACTGAAATTAACTCACAAGGCAAGCTGGCTGTATATGTTCTATGAACAAATTAATTCAATACAGGACTACCTGTGCTGATGGCATAATACCTCTTTCTTGTGTCTTTAAACATTACACAACACCATGGATAGTATTCTGTTTGAACATGGAAAATACAGGTTGCACAGCCATTAAACTCACATGATGAGTCTGGGCAAGTCTCAGCTCAACCTACTTACTGGATTGATGCAAGGATAAATTGAGAGAGAGAAAGAGAGAGAGAACAAACTACAAAGTAACTTCCACAGTAGAAGAATCTAAAACTAAGAGGAGGAGACTCAGGAAGAGTCATATCTAATTTACATATTGCAACAGACTACAATCACCATAATTTCTATGCAATGGAACTATAAATAACATTGATGTTATCTTGTAAGTGACCAACAGCCATCCTGCTGCACTTCAATGTATTACAGTTCTGAAGCCGTTATTTTCTGAAAAACCAATCATGTCTTAGAATCATAGAACCACAGAGTTGGAAGGGGCCAAACAGGCCATGCAGAATCAGCCTAGAGCATCCCTGACAAGTGTCTGTCCATCTGCTGCTTAAAGACTGCCAGAGAGGTGGAGCTCACCACCTTCCTAGGCAGCTGATTCCACTGTTGTACAACTCTTACTGCAAAAAGGGTTTTCCTAAAATCCAGCCACTACTTTCCTGCCCTTAATTTAAACCCATTATTGCAAGTCCTATCCTCTGCTGCTGACAGGAATAGCTCCTCCTCTAAGTGACAGCCTTTCAAATGCTTAAAGAGAGCAATTATGCTCCCCCCTTCTCCAGACTGAACATTCCCAGGTCCCTCAGCCTCTCCTCATAGGGCTTGGTCTCCAGGTCCCCAATCATCATCGTCACTCTCCTCTACACCCGCTCCAGGTGCAGACAGACCAATGCAGTGTACAGCAGGACTCTGACATCTTGAGATTTGGATGTTATGCCTCTGTTGAAACACCCCAAGATCGCATTAGCCTTTTTGGTCACTGCATCACACTGGCTGCTCATTGCTCATATTTAACTTACGGTCCACCCATACCCCAAGATCTTGTTCACACACACTGTTACCCAGAAGCGTATCCCCCCATCCAGTATGTGTATTCCTCATTTTGGTTACCCAGATGTAGAACTCAGCACTTATCCTTGTTAAATTGCATCTTGATCACATCCGCCCACTTTTCCAGTGTGTTCAGATCTCGTTGAATTCTGTCTCTATCTTCTGGTGTTTTCACTGCCCCAATTTGGTGTCATCTGCAAATTTAATGAGTAGCCCCTCCACACCCTCATCCAGTTCATTTATAAAAATATTGAGAAGTACTGGGCCCAGAACCGAGCCCTGTGGCACCCCACTGAACACCTCCCTCCATTCAGATGAAATGCCACTGACAACTACTCTCTGAGTGCAGTTCTCCAACCAGTTCCCTATCCACCTAGTTATCCTGGAGTCCAGTCCACCGCCCTCTAGTTTACCCATCAGAATATCATGGGGAAACTGTCAAAAGCTTTACTGAAATCCAGGTAAATAACCTCAACAGCATTCCCTCAATCCAGTAAGCTTGTCACTCAATCAAAGAAGGAAATGAGGTTGGTCTGGCAGGACCTGTTGGGGACAAATCTGTGCTGACTTCCCTAGATCATCAAGTTGTCCTTTAGATGCTTGCAGAGCGATCCTTTTAAAATCTGCTTCAGTATCTTCCCTGGGACCTCTGGCTGGCCTGTAGTTTCCTGGGTCATCCCTCCCCCCTTTTTTGAAAATTGGGATAACATCTGCCCTCCTCCAGTCTTGTGGCATGTCTCCCGTCCTCCAAGAGGAAGATGATGGCTCTGCAAGCTCCCTAGAAAGTTCTTTGAGCACCCTTGGGTGAGTACCATTTGGCCCCGGGGATTCAGCGCAAGCCAGGTGCTTCTCAACTACCTCTCTGTCCATGCCAACCAGCAGCCCAGACTCCGTGCCTTGCCTGCTACCATCTAAAGATGAGCCTGTTCTCTTCTTCAGGGAAAAAACTGAGGCAAAATAGACATTAAGCCTTTCTGCCTTTCTCTGTCAGAGTTTCGCCATTTTCACCCAACAGTAGTTCTTCAAAGGAAGAACTAGATTGGAAATAATGACTGCTGAAATGCATATTTAGTGACCTACTGTGTATTCTTATTTATATCGAATGCATTTTAAATGTTTTAAGGTTGTAAATCGGCCAGAGCCTGCTTGCAGGGTGGGAGATTCATAAGTTTAATAAAATAAATAAAATAATGAAGGGAGATTCCTTTTATACGTTTTCTCCCCACCCCAATAACCTTTAAATATTTTTGCCATCTTACTTTCTAGTGCATTCCTGAATTCATTATAGCTAGCACCCTATTAATATGAAGCTGGTATTCTCCGAGCTAAAGAACATGCTGGGAGATATCTTGGGAAGGTGCCACAGTTTGGATCCAGAGTATGGCATGCATCTGGATTCAACCCACTGAAGCCATTGTCCTATTCTCAAAAATGGTCCCTCAGACCTGATATTTGCCCCATTGGGTCACATGGGACAACAGGAATTCACAGGTTTTTCCCCAGTGGGGCAAACAGCTCCTCCAAGGGACCGTCTAAGGTTGGCAAAACAGTGAAGGGTGAGAAATAGTTAAAAAGCTTTCACCAGCCTTGAGAATATTTGAATCCCAAATCCCAAGGCTTTCAGTATATCTTGGTATGCCTCCCATGAAATACATGCTCCTATTGAAAAACTGTCTACAACTGACACAGTTCCAACTGTAAAACAAACTGTAGTCTTCCCCAACATGAATGAGTTTGGGTGTACATGCTACCCAGTCTCTCCCCCTTTTATGACAAGATGCATCCAACCCACAAATTAAAGTCTTTTTCTCTCTCTCTCTCTCTTTTTTTTTTTTTGCAGAACAGGATTTCAAACCAGAGCCAGTGTGGTGAGGGGGGGAGTGTCAGACTAGGATCTGGGAGACCCAGATTTGAATCCCACCTCTACCATGGAAGCTTGTTAGGTGGCCTTTGGCCAGTCACACACTCTCAGCCTTACTTTACAGGGTTGTTCTGAGAATAAAATAGAGGGAAGAATGATGTAAGCCATTTTGGGTCCCTGTTGGGAAGAAAGGCAGGATATAAATAAATAAATGACCAAACAAACAAACAATAAGGACATTAAAAATTGTGATTCATGGGAAAACCACACAGCATAGTTTGTTGCTCTAACAATGTGATCGTTGCATACAGGAGAGTGCACAAGCTTGAGAATATCTAAGCCTCATTCTCATAGTATAAAACCATGGTTTCCACATCTGAACCATGCCAGTATATTGTGTGAGTTGACTCTGACCTTGTAAGACTGTACAATTCTTGATATATCAGGTGGAAAAGACATATAACCCACATTTTATAAAATAGGTTGGGTGAAAAAATCTTACCAAATTTGGTTTTCTTTTTTAATCCTCTAGAGATAGACTGTGCTCTGGCATTTGAAGTAGGATCTTCAGATAAAACGTCTGTAGTCCGCTGCAAAGACAGCAACCCAATCAAACATATCTAAGTCCCTGTAGCCATTCTGTACAGGTGTGCTGATCACGCAACAGAGAACTGAACGTATAACATTTGGAACAATTAGATTTCCACTGAACTACCTCACTGCATCACTCACTGGGGACTGTGAAATAGGAATAGCCAGCTGCACCGGTGGTGAATGGTCCCTCTGCTAAGCGTGAATTGTTCAGTTTTGAACAGAAAAGTCACAAACTACTCCTCTTGCATTTCATTGCCTTTTCACCCGCTCTTCATATTTCCCCCGTCTCCTGTGCATATATTTCTCCTGATTGAAGCTCATGCATCTGAGGAAGTTGGCTCTAACCTATAAAAGCTTATACTGTAATAACTCTTGTTTGCTTTAAAATATACAGCTGATGGGGATATACACTGGTCACTAGAACTGCATCTGGGTCAAAAGTGTTCCCATATCACCTTCATGTATTTAGCAGAAAATGGAGGGCAGCTGGGGGACTGAGAAAAAAAGAATATACATTAATAACTTACTTCAATAACATTGTGGCAGGATCTACAGTAAAATGCGCCTTCATCGGTAAGGCCCCAGTTGACTTCTGAACACTGGGGACAGGGTTCATTGTAGTTTCTCTAGAAACAAAAGAAGAATTTGTATAAATCTATATGAAACTGTTTTTAAAAAATTATTTATTATCTTTACTGTTTTTGCAACTGGAGTCATAAACAGTAATTCCTTGTCCCACAATAAACCTCGTTCCACAGGAAAACATGGGAGAATTTAAGGATTGCTACTGCAAAAGTTGTCATGTGAGTTGATAACAGCTGCTAGAAATTTTGCCACATGCAGGATACTTTCTGTGTCTTCATCTCTAAGTAATCAGGATGATACTGCTTCTGGAGAGAAGAAGTCCTGATTAAATAAAAATATGTGCACAATAAATAATATTTCATAGCCAAAACAAAATTTAAAAACAATATTTCAGTATGCTGCAGTGAAGTATCTTGCCTGGCCAAAACAATGCACAGTAAATTAGAGAGGGAAATGCAATGGCATTTATAGTTCAAAGCTATGCATGTTTATACCCCAACCTAGATTATATGAATTTACCCCCAATTCAATGTGTACACCCTGCAGCTCTAGAGTGATACTACTTGCATGTTTACTCTTACTAGTCTGATAAAGCTTAATGTGCATGAAACCACAGCCTTGAAGAGCACTTCTAAACAGGCCTATTCAGAAATAAGTACCATTTTATTTAATAGTGATACTCCCAATAGCATGTAGCCTAAGAAACAAGGATTGCTTAGCTTCAATAAATAAGACTTCAGCACTTGAACACTTTTGAAAAAGATCTGCTCTAGTCTTCTATTAATAATAATTGTGTACCGTCAAGTCCCAACAGACTAATGGCAACCCCTCATGGGGTTTTCAAGGCAAGACTTTAGCAAAGGTGGTTTGTCATTGCCTTCCTCTGCCTAGCAACCCCAGCCTTCCTAGGTGATCTCCCATCCAAGCATCAACCATGGCCAACCCTGCTTAGTTTCCCAGCTCTGATGAGCTTGGGCTAAACTGGGTTATTTGGGCTGCTAGTCTCCTTTTAAAAAGGTAAAGGTTTCCTTGCTCGAAAGCCAGTCAAGTCCGACTCTAGGGTTGCGGTGCTCATCTCCGTTTCAAAGCTGAAGAGCCAGCGCTGTCTGAAGACATTTCCGTGGTCATGTGGTCGGCATGACTAAACACCAAGGCGCACGGAACGCTGTTACCTTCCCACCGAAGTGGTACCTATTTACCTACTTGCAATTTCTTGCTTTCGAACTGCTAGGTTGGAAGGAGCTGGAACTAGAGACAGGAGCTCACTCCGTCATGCGGCACACTCAGGTCTCGAACCGCTGAACTACCGCCCTTCCACAGCCTGCAGTTCAGCGTCTTAACCACTTGAGCCACCGCAGCTCCAGTCTCCTTTTACGGTAGCCTGTGTCAATTTTTTTTCACAGGACTGTATTGTGTAGTAAAGTGAACACTTTAAATACTTAGAATAGGAAAGGACATCTAAAGCAATAAAAAAATATTGCACCTATTATTTCCTCTAAAAATATCAGTTTAATAAGTAGTTGTTGACCTATTTCCTGCTCTGAAACCACAGTGAGAGTCCCACCTTTCTGTTTGTCTGGAAAAGCTCTTGTACTTTCCACAATTATATGGGAGCGAGCACAGGATAGCGGTTCTTGTCAAACAAACTATGATGCAGGGTACTGAGGTTCAAATCTGCATTCTGCCATGAAGGCTTGCTGGGTGATCGTGGGCCAGTCAAACGTTCTCAGCCTAACCTATCTCACAAGGGTTGCTGTTGCAAGGATAAAAGGGAAGGGGGAGAATGTTGGGAAACGCTCTGGGGGTCCTGTTGGCCAGAAAAGCAAATATCAAAGTAAATAAATACAGTCAAGCATCCTGGAATTCCACGGGGAAAGTTTTCCTGAGCATGAGGAAGGGAAATAAAAGCTTCCCATATTAAATAGCTACTCGGGAGGCGGTTGTTAAAACCATAGCCCTGCTAAGAATAAGGCGGGAAACTTTAAACCAACTCCGAATTCATCTACTTTTTCACCAGCCATGCCCAAGCAACATTCTTCCCTCACTCCAACTATACATGCGACGTACAACTCCACACACTTCTCACACTTAGAGAGGCAGCCGTGTTAGTATGCGGCAGCAAAAATAAAACGGGAGACCAGAAGCATCATAAAGGCTAGCAAGTAACAACATCGTATTCCGGCATAAACTTGACTGGGCCGGAAAGACGGGGCCTCAGTCAGTCACCGAAAGTTTAATGCTGAAATTCTACTCCTCATCTTCTAGAACTAACCAGACCTCACTCTCGCGGCGGTTCTTCGCGTGTCACAGGGGGGGGGGGGGGGTGTTACAAAATGCCACCGCTGCCCACAGTCTCACCGTCTCTTCCTCCTCCTCCATCGCGTGCCCACACCAGGCCCTCCGTCAACCACCGCCACAACACCATAGCAACGGCTCAGCCACGGAAGAATGAGGAAAAACAATAACCGACTGGGAAACAAAACCTCCGGCACTTTGGTTCCGAGCGTCCTGTGAGCGGTAGGTTCTTTTTACTCGGCGGCGGCAAGGGAAACCGCCTCAAAATGAAGGAGCTCTATAGAATCATAAACACTAACTATTGTAGTAGTGGACTTTCCAAAGCTAGAAGACCGCTTCTCAGTTACATTAATGTATGGGGGGGGGGAGGAAGGAATGAATTATATTTTACGTTTCTTTTCTGTTTTTAAACTGTTTCGTTAATTTTCCCCCCTGAATATTCTTCAGTATAGTGTGACAAAAAGCCATTACATTAATCGCTCACAGTACTGGATGTATTGCATCTTAAGATCGTTTACATTTTTCTCCTCTGTGCGTGTGTCTGTGTGAGAGAGAAGGTATTGAGGACTTTTATAGAGTTGCTAGCCTCCCGGAGATTTCCTGGAATTACATTACAACCAGTTCAGATAAAAATCAATTTAAAATAACAAAAACGGATTTTTAAAATTTAAATTGGATTTTTAAAATAAAATGCTTTTTGAGGAAACATCTATCTAAAGGTAGTTTTCTATTTAAGATATGTTATAGTCCAAAGGTTATTCATCATAAAATAAGGATTAGTTTTTGTGCAGAATGAGGCTGTATATTCATGCAATGTTTAATTTTTTTGGTAAATTAATTCCATTAATCCATTCACAATATCATGCTCTTCCAGAGGTTTCTGTAAGATTATTGGGCAATTTCTATATCTAGAAGATATTATCACAGATGCTTGGTTTTACAGTTCTCAAAACTGTGAATTTGTGTCTGCAGAGATCACATGCCTCTTCTTTGCAGCAAAAATGTTATAAAATAAAAGAAACATATAGATTTGAGAAAAAGACTTTAATCCCATTTTTCCTTTGCAAATCTGTGTACACAGAATCAACGCCTTACCTCTTATGTGCTAAATTTCAACAAAATTAAATGAATAGAAGGCAGGGGCAAGCATTAAAAATGAAAGTGAAACCTTTAGAGCAGAATATTCTACAAATCTTTGGATCTTTGTGTGTATAGCCTCAGGTTTATCATATTATTCTTTCCCTGGCGGAGAAAACCTATAATGGCAGCAGGCCATAAAAGAGATCCAGTATGGGAATATTTTAATGAAGTTCCTCTACCTATGGATAAGGCAGGCATGTGTGCCAAATGCAGACACTGCAAGAAAGAAATGCAAGGCCTGGTGGCCCGAATGAAACAACATCATCAGAAGTGCTGTGATAAAGATGACAAAAGGAACATGTTTGAACAGGCAGGGTCTTCAGGTTGGTAAACGTTTTGATTTCATGATATTTCTTAAAGACTGCCTTGAGGAACAGTCATGTTTGAGCAAAATTATATTTGTTATCATTATTACTGCATGTTATTGTCATTTGTTATGAAGAAATAAAGAGTTGAAACAAGCAAATATTCCTTTTGGGGGCAATATTGAGTGTAAGTGAATACAATGAGTAATACTAAATAAGCAGAAATGGTATAAGTAATAAAATAACCGCATTGACCTTTTGTTTAGGGGAATCCATCATCAACATAAAGGTTTCTAGAAACTTCAAGATCACCATCTTCCTGTTCTACAGTTTTAGAGTTATCTGTCCAAGATAGTGTTTCGGTCACATCATATACATCACACATCCACAGTATATCGCCTAAAAGAAAGAAAAAAGCCGACCATCCAGGAACCACCATAGATCAGTTTGTGATAAAACCCAGCAGATTATTTGTTGTTCAGTCACACAGTCGAGTCCAACTCTTCATGACCCCCCTGGATCACATCATGCCAGGCCTTCCTGTCTTCCGTTGTCTTCCGGAGTTTGCTTAATGTCATGTTTGTTGCATCAATAACACTGTCTAACCATCTCATCCTTTGCTGTCCCCTTCTTCTTTGACCTTCAATCTTTCCCAGCATCAGGGTCTTCTCCAGTGAGTGCTCCCTTCTCATTTGGTAGCCAAAGTATTTGAGCTTCATTATCTGGCCTTCCAGGGAACAGTCAGGGTTGATTTCTTCTAGGACTGACTGATTCAATCTCCTTTCAGTCCAAGGGACTCTCAAGAGTCTTCTCCAGCACCATAATATGAAACCATCTATTCTTTGGCGCTCAGTTTTCCTTATGGTCCAACTCTCGCAGCCATACATTACTACTGGGAATACCATTGCTGTGACCATATGGACTTTTGTTGGCAGGGTGATGTCTCTACTTTTTATTATGCTGTCTAGTTTTGCCATAGCTTTCCTCCCAAGGAGCAAGCATCTTTTAATTTCATGGTTGCAGTCACCGTCTGCAGTGATCTTGGATCCCAGGAATGTGAAGTCTGTCACTGCTTCCATGACTTCCCCTTCTATTTGCTAAGGAGTGATGGAGCCAGATGCCATGATCTTTTTGATATTGAGTTTCAAGCCAACTTTTACGCTCTCCTCTTTCACTCTCGACAAGAGGCTCTTTGGGTCCTCTTCACTTTCTGCCATTAGAGTGGTATCGTCTGCATATCTGAGGTTGTTGATCTTTTTCCCAGCAATCTTAATTCTGGCTTGTGATTCATCCAGGCTAGCATTTCACATTATGTACTCTGCATATAAATTAAAGAAGCAGGGTGACAATATACATCCATGTCGTACTCCTTTACTTATGCTAAACCAATCAGTTGTTCCATATCCGATTCTAACTGTCGCTTCTTGACCCTTATACAGATTTCTCGGAAGACATGTGAGGTAGTCTGGTACTCCCATCTCTTTAAGGACTTGCCACAGTTTGTTGTGATCCACACAATCAAAGGCTTTAGCATAGTCAATGAAGCAGAAGTAGATGTTTTTCTGGTACTCCCTTGCTTTCTCCATATTTAGAAAATATTAGAAAAAGAGTTAATTGTTGAAAAAAATGCCCAATCTGTTTATGTGACAAACTCTTCTTTCTGTCTGACTGAAAACCCACACTTCATTCATATGGTTCGGTCACAGAGACCAGGATACAGTCCACCCAGCAGAGCAGATGTTGCAGGGAAACTGCTGGATAAAGTGTATGACAGAGAAATAGAGCAATGGGCAACAGCTCTAGAGGGTTACATTGTTAACCTAAGTCTTGATGGGTGGAGGAATGTCCACAATGATCCTGTTGTATGTGCTTCTATAACAACAGAAGAAGAGAATGTCTTCCTTGCAGAAACAATACATACATCAGGAAATACACACACAGCAGAATACTTACAAGAAGAGGCAGCAAAAGCTATAGTAACATGTGAACAGAAATTCAAATGTCTAGTATGCAGTTTGCTCACAGACAATGCTGCAAATGTTTGCAAGAGGAGTTGAAATGTAGAAGCGCAGGAAGGGAATACAAAGCTAATAACATATGGCTGCAGTGCTCATTTGCTGCACCTCCTAGTCAAAGATTTCAGTGTTCCAGAAATAAAGAGTAATGTCATTGAAATTGCTAAATACTTCCATAACAATCATTTTGCAGCAGCAGCTCTGAAAAGAATGGGTGGAACCAAGCTAACACTCCCACAAGATGTTAGATGGAACTCTGTAGTGGGCTGTTTTGAGTAGTGTATCGAGAACTGGCCTACTCTGATGACATTGGGTTTAAGAGAAATGTTGAACATATGCTGAGCATCCTGAAACTTTTAACAGCGGTAGGGGACTGGAATGCTAAAGTAGGAAGTCAAAAGGTAACCGGAATAACAGACAAATTTGGCTGTAGTGGGCGTGGCCGACTCTGAAGCCAGCCGGAACTCCGTTCCTGTGCGTTCCTGCCCAAAAATAGCCCTGGCTAGGGTTAACTCTTTTCCCACTGCTGAGTTAACAGGTTGCTTTTCTAAAGTTCCATACTCAGATCGTCTTTGTAATTGTGAGACTGGAGCTGTGGAAACACTTGGCCATCTTTTATTATTTTGTCATTACTGGTCGATCCCTAGATCAATTTGGATCACTCCAGTTCTTACCAAACACCGATTACATACTGAACTCTGGGTGGTCCCCTATTTGCTCATAGATATTCATCTTGAAACTACTTGTTTTGTTACAAAATTTTGAATGATAGTTTTATTTGTAAAGCGACAAAAATCTGGCTTGTTCTGATTGTAGTGGAATATGGCACATACTCAGTTAATATGATGTAATATGATGTAAATGATGTAATATGATGTAAATTCAGCTTTATTAATGACTTCTGTTTAACATTTTAGATTTTTAGATTTGTTTATTTTGACTGTAAATTTTGATTGTAAATCTCGAATCTTGAGGCTAATGCTGTATTTGATAATTGAGCTGAAGACCTTGGTCATAGAAGCTAATAAACATAAGTAACTATTCAGAGATTCAATTGATTTTTTACCATGTGCAAACCTAACTTACGTGTTAATGTTTTTTTCTATATATATAAAACATTTGCAGTATTCCTGTTTTCTGTGATCTGTTTCCAGGGTTGACAGGTCCCCCTTGGCCACCGACCGGAGATGTGGGATGGGGCTACCAGATGCAGTTTGGGAAATTCCTGGAGATTTTGGGATGGAGCCTGAGGAGGAAAAGGACCTCAGTGGTGTATGATGCCATAGAGTCCACCCTCCAGAACATCTGTTTTCTCAGAGGGAACTGATCTCTGTAGTCTGGAGATGAACTGCAATTCTGGGGAATCCCAGGGTCCCATCTGGAGTCTGGCATCCCTATCTGTTTTTTGTTCATTGAGCAGCTTGAGAACTGTGCAGCTTTCATTTTTTAGGTTTTACATTTGCTAAGATGTAATTTAATTTACCACATCAATAATAGATGGGACATAAGTAAAATAGTCCAAAAGTTTATCTTTAAAAAATTGATGGGTAAAATAATACGAACAACAACAACAACAAAAACCTGTTGCACTACAATTTCCATTTACATAATCACTATAATCTGGGAAACGCTGTGACCTTATTACTGGTACATTAAATTGTTATTCAGGGAA